GTTCCCCCTACCCTGTCTCTACGAAATACTTGAAATATCCATACTGATACATTTGAGAGTCAGGGAGAAATGCTCATTTTTGATCAGATAACGGAGGTTTTTCCAGAGTTGGAAGAGCAGTTGATGCTCTGCAGGGATACAGGCACGTTGTTCCAGACCAGGTGCTGGACTGCAGGGATGTCTGGGTCTCCATTTGGTAGGTGGTGCTGCCTAAAGCCTTTTGTCCCTGCCCTACGCCACCTTCAAGGAAGGCTGATGCTCAAGGAAACCAGCTTTTTGCTCCAAAAAGCAGTGTTAAGAGCTACAGAGAGAGCTTTTAAAAGCAGAGTGGTGTTTGAGTTGGATTCTGAAACAGACTCTGGGGAAAGTATTGGGGAAAGGTGTAGTTAAGCTATCTGAAAATACAAATGTCTGCTTATCTCCCCGGTCTAGATCACAGGAAGCGTTGCTACATGGTTTTTTTTACCTATCAAATAAACCAGGGTGATGACTTGCAAATGTTTTAGTGCAGGCAACATTATCTACAGACATCTGGTGTATGTGTATGCGGAGGTTAGAATCAGTCAGGACTGAAATCTTAGTGCTGGCTTGGCAGCCTGTGCTGCCTCTTGACCGGATGCCCCGCTCCCAAACACCGTTAATGTAGTAGATGGCATAAATCCAAACCTGATGTAACTCGGGGGCAAAACCCTATATTAACTGTTGAATCATTTTTATTAGAGCACTGATGTCTTCAACCCGTTGATGCAGGGATGTATATAGGTCAGTATTTCAGAATGTGAAGGGAGAACATGAACGGTTGACTTTACGTTGGCTGTTTACTCGAGGGTGTAAACCTGCAACTGTGAGGCTGGGAACCCTCTGCACCCGTTTGCTGTCCCTGAAGGGCAGAGACTGGCAGTTTCTCCAAAGGGTTCAGTTCTTGGCAGCGCTGAGCCATATGTGGTGATTGCTTACTTGCTTTGTGGGTTTTGGGGTGGGTGTTGGTTTTTTTTTTTTTTGAGCTACAGACTGAGGGATCTGGCTTGAGTACTCAGCACACAGACTGAAACTCTCTCTAGTAAATCTGTTCTTCCTTATAAGGATAAATAGAAGAGCAGTTGGGGCAGTGTTCGGAGGGAAGCTGTGCACATCTGGTGCAACTCAAGTGAATCGGCGAGGGTGTGGGGGGTGAAAAAATAGCTTATCATCACTGATGGCATGTAGGTGTTGAGTCAGGGAACCAACTGCCAACGTTCCCGATGCCGAGGTTAGAGGGTGCCCAGCAAAACCCTAACAGCAGGTTTAAAACAACAACAACAATGAAAAGTGTAATTTTTGAACATTTGCAACTCCGTATTGCAGGATATTTGCCTAGAGTTCAAAGGAATTATGCATTTAAAAAAAAAAAAGACAAATTTCTGGAAAGAAATCCATCAAGGATGGTCAGATGGTTTAATGCGGATACCTCGAGATCCTGTTCGTTATCTTGCTGGGAGCTGAGAAATAACCTAGGGAAGTATCACTACTGGGTGTTCGTACTTTCCCTAGCTGGACTTTCTCTCCAGCCAGCCTGCTTGTCTTTCTCTCATCTGAGATTGGGCCACAAAAATACTTTGTCACTGCTTTCAGTGCAAATTGTGTTTTTAAGCAGCATCCTGAGCTGCTGCTCTATTGATAGCAATTTGTCACGAATCTTGATTTATCACACCTAATTTTTGCATGTGGCACAATGTCATGCCGTAGCATGACTAGTGATTTATGTTCAGACACTTCTAAAAGCGAAATTCCACATGTCTCTAATCTGGCTTTTGGCAAATCTCCTGGCTGCACTAAATGAAATATTGCTTGTTGTGCAGTGTGCTACCTGAATGTTCATGTTTACTAATGACTTGCGCTTTTTTGCCCCTTTCCCCATCCCGTTTCCCTCTCCTACTTCTTTTCCTCTCTTCTATTTTCTCCTCCTAGAAGCCTAGACTGTCTCCTAACACTGGGGCTGCCACTGATACAAGACCAGTGTACTTTTCTACCCGCCATTACACTTCTAAAATCTTCAGCATTTTACAGAGCTCTTGCTTTACATCTTTGGACTTTACGTGTAGAAGAAACCAAAGGATAGCTGTGCTGTCGGGTAGCTGTGCTGTCGGCCGATCAGCCCTTCTCCTCCTCCCTCTCTGCTCTGCAGTGCTTGTTGAAACCTTCCTTTCTTTGTGTAAGCACAAACGTGCGTGATGGTTTTTAACTGCACTATTTCAGCACTCCCACTGTTTTTAAATCACAACCTCAGCTCCATTTTTAGTTCCTCCACTTTTAAATTTAATTTATATCTTTTTTTTCATGGATGCTTGATAACAGAAGGTTTGATGTTAAAGTTGTGCTTTCGTGGCGGATGGGTCCACCATGACTGCAGCTCCTTTCCCTTCTCCCCGTACTCACCGCAGCCTTTTAGAATCATGCTGAGTTTTGCCGGTGTCCTTGCTGCTTTGAAACCTTCTCATAGGAGGTTTTTCTCTTTAGTGATGTCTTCTTCAAAACAGGTGTTTTCACATCATAGAACTTGAGAAACAGATTAGGATAAACTCTGTTTACTGGGGTACAAGCAGGTTGCCTCTGGTTTGAGAGGGATGGATTGTGGGGTTCAAGCACTTGCCATCAACTGGGAATACACAGGAAAATGACCAAGCCCAGTTCCTGCCCCAGTAAGCTGCTTTGCTGTTGTGCTGCTTCCTGCAAGCCTGGGAAGTAAGAAGGAAAACTGCCTTTCTTTTAACTTCATACCTCTAGCTCTGTTTCGGTAGTGGATTTCCCCTGCCATGAAAAATAATCTGTCCCTTCCAAAACAGAGAGAAATGAAAGATCTAGGACTGTCACATCAATACTGAAATAATTATGGCAGTTTCCAGCAACACCAAAAGGGCCTGGTTTAACCTGAGACAGAGCTACAAGAAGTCAGCAAGTCCGTTGCAATGCCTGCTGTCTCCATAAAGCTGCAAAGCTTTCCAAACACAAAAGTCTTAGGTACTACCATTCAACAGATAAAATGCCAAAGGAGGAAATAATTTGGAGAGGTTACTAAGTATTTGACATGAGACGAGCTCAGCCTGGTTTTTGTGGACTAGTGCATGTTTTGTTTGAGGATAATCGTGTTGTGTAGCTAAGGGTAGTTTGCCTACAGCACCTGATAAAAGTACAGGATCTATTTGAACCCCAATCCAGTCTAAGGTAGGATGTGATTCTCCAAATTGCCAAAAGCCAGCTTGCCTAAAAGTGTTATTTTCTTGTTGTGAAGAGAGTAGCTTGCACCTGAATATCCCTAGTACCCTGCTGGTACCCATGACTACGTTACAGTGCTGGTCTGCTAATGATTTACTGGAAGAGTATCACACCTCGAATGAATACTACTGTTAATGTCAGCACAAGGTTTTCTTTAAAGATCTCCCTCCAATAGTCTTGGTTTACTTTTTTGTATCTGAGACCTCACATGCTCCCCACCCAGGGTGACAGTGTCCGGAGCTGCTGCAATGAATTGTGTGTAGTGATGTGCATCAGGACTCAAGGCTTTTGTTCTCTAATTTGGTGGCAATTTATTGCTCTACCCACCATTCAAAGCCTCATTAGTAGCTGACATCTTTGCGGTGCCAATTTCTGAACAAGTGACGCCATTGGCTTCTCCGAGGTAGATAGCTGTCGTTTCTGAGAAAACCCCGTTGCCTACAGGCACCCGGCTGCCGAAGCTGGGCTCTTCCCTTGCCAGTCCGATGTGCCGACCTGGCAGAGCCACCATGCAGTTGCTTAAGACCAGTGGCCTTTGAGACCAGATCCTGACCAAAGGACAGAAATTAGCATTTTCCCCGTGCACTAGAGCAAGGATGGTAACTGGGATTCAGGATACGCTGGCAAGTACAGCTGTGACAGGTTGCCCTCTGTCTTACTGGTTTTACTGGAAATGCTGCCATATGGTAGTGTGTAGCCAACAGCCCGTGCCTTTGACAAGCCACCAAAACCTCCCCAGCTTTTGGGGTCTGCAGGCCATCCAGGACCGTTCCTCCGGCCGTACTTCACACGTCGGGTCTGCTGCTCGTTCACCCCTAAGGCCAGACGAGAGCAGTGGTGTGGGATGCAAGGAGAGGTGTTTGGTCCTTCTTGTCTTCCCAAAGAGCTTTCCTCTTGGGGGATTTTTGGT